GGGGGGAATCTATGTGGGAGAGGGATGGGCAGGGGAATGCAAGGTTGGGGGGAAGGAGGAGACAGCCGGAGGGTGTGCTGAGTGAAGCAGAGGGAGGAAAGTGAGGTAGAGCAGGAGCATTGCACAAATGCCAGTTAGGATGGCACTGGGATAATACAATTAAAACTGTGGGAAGTCTGGGCTTTTCTGTGACTGTCCCAAAGCAACTGATCCTCAAGCGTTCTGTCCTGCTGAGGATGTTAAATTCCACTTCACCTTGGATGTGCTCCTTACTTCTACTGTGTAAAACCCCTGTATGTGAATGTGCAAATTCTTCTCTCGTTTCTAGCCATTCTGGATAAAACGCACAGGGCGCTGGAGCCTGTCCTCATGGCTCTTGCAGTTCACCCACTCCTGCTGGGAAATTCCTTTGGAGAAGCTCCCTTCCAAGAGTCCTCCTGCCCAAAGGATGCAAGTGTAAAACCTTTAATGATTTCCTGTGTGCAAGAATGTGCACTGCTGCTTTAAGTAAGCAGCAGCTGCTGCTTGAATCCATTAGCAGGTGAAATACCAATTTGCTTACGCTGAGATATGAGTCTCATGAGAAGAGAGTCCTTGCTCTTACTAGTACCCATCTCACGTTGCTGTCCTTCACCTTTCTCCTGGTCCTACAGATTAAATATCCTCATGTCTCCAAAAGATGTATTAAATTCCTGCTTTTTGCTGTGAGAGGTAGGTCAAATATCTTGGTTGTAGGCATGAAACCCACCTACCCGTCGGTTCTTCCTGCAGCAAGTATGAATACCTTGTCCTTGCTCAGCTCTGTGGGAACGTGTAATCCTGCTGACGCAACTGGAAACGTGAGTTCTGTGGACCTGAACCCACTTTTCGGTAGACCTGCTTAGCCCAGCTCAGTAGCAGAGCAGCCTTGACTGAAATAGAAATTATTACCAGTGTTGCAGACTAGGGGGGCTGCCAGGAGCAGGGCACTGAGAGATGTTCCCCGCACCCTCCATGTTCTTGCAGCTTTCACGCTGTAATATGACCCTACGGGCAGTCATGCTGCTATTGGGGAGAGGGGATCATGAGGGACAAATACCTAGTGTTGACACCAGCAGTGAAGGATGATACAGTGATGATGGAAACTAATGCGGAACGAAATGTGATCTGCACGGAGATGATGACATCTCACTCCCTTTTCTCTGCTGTCCGGGCTTCTATCTGCAGCAGGATACAGATGTTGAGAGCAGTTCCTACTGTGCTTGGCAAGGAGGAAGTCCTGCATGCAGTGAAGGAGAAAGAGCTACAGCTAAGTTGCAGGCTGCATTTATTCAGCCCTGTCCTTTGTCGCTTCTCTCCCTTCATTTAGCTCACGTAAGGCAGACAACATGCAGGTGCCGTGCTGGACCCTACCTGAAACTATCAATTTATGAATTATTACTGTAGGAGTGGCTGTTCTGTTGATGGGAGCTACATCTTGCCTCCCAAAGTTAACTACTGTTTTATGTTCTCCTGGTCTTCAGAGTCACATGAGAGAAAATCCATTTTCCAAATTACGGGCCCAGTATATTTAGAAGCAAATAATACTAATGAACATAATCAAACAAATGCAGAGTACCACACAGCATGTGGTATCTTGCAGGGACAGTCCCTCCTGGGAGCACGTGCAATGCCAGCATGTAACTTGTTAATCACTAGAAGGCTCACAGAGGTGGCTGTCTGTGCAAAAGTGTTGGCTTCGCATTTATAGGTGCAAACTGAACTTGTTGGGGAAGGAAGCTGAACACAGTACAGCTGTGGTAGATACCTGCCTGGGAGATGGTTGCCTTGAAGCAGCCTACCACCTGTGCAAACTCCTGGCTGGAGGCTCAGCATCAGTGCTGCTTCTGATGTTATACCCCTTCTTTGTCTCGGCTGAGGTAGAAGGAAAGGTTCATCTCTTCGGGAGATACACAAAAGAGGAGGTTGAACAAGACCCCATATACAAGAGCGCGGTGTGGATAATGGGGTGGCAAGAGCTCATTAAAGGTTAAGAGACTTCTATGAGCCCTTGGCAAGACGGGGGAGAACAACTGATTATTCCCCATGCAGGAAGCAGCATCTGCAGAAGCAGTTTCCACCCAGAGAAGCTGGTTTTGTCTCCGTGAAAAGGTCTGTGTAGAAGCAGCATGGCTGGGCAGCTGCAGCATCAGCCTCTCCTGATCTGGGTCCTGGCATTTGGAAGGAGGGGAGAGAAATTTGCTGGCTGCTGTTTTCCCCTTTCTTCCTTAGAGGGCAAGCCTTCCCCGACAGAGCCGCAGGCGCCACTCCCCTGCTCTGGCAGGTAGCCTGACTGTGACACCCTGTGCGCATTCAGCAGCTGACTTCTGCCCAGAAAATCATTTTGCAGAGCCAGCATTGTCTCTGTAAGGAGGAATTGTCCTTACCAGGGACGCTAACTAGGAATGTCCAGTAGAAACCTACTTTCTAAAGGCCCTGAAAAGGTGCTGGGTGGATTTCAGTTCTCATCACAGTCAGAGAATTTACTTCAGCCTCCAAATTAGCTGAAATGCATGGGAGCATACATCCCCTTTGGATACAGGGCTTTGCCCTTAAGCTCGTACCTAGAATGTGTGTCCCTTTTTCCCTTTACCTCAGGTGTGGTTACATAGTCTGTGTTTCACTGTTCAAAGCTTTGCTCTCCAGTAGTATCTCAGTGTGCACTAGTTCCTTCAGCACTTTCAAAGGACTCTTCAGGGCTCGGGACTTCCCTGGTGGGAAGGCAATGAAAGAGGAGGACTGACTTCCCTTTCCCTGTTAGTACCAGAAACCACTGCAAAATTTTATTTTACATTGTTGGATGTTTTTTAGGATCAGGAATCACTGAAGAACTTAGACCTAATCAAGACTCTCATCATTGGGATTAAACGGAGCACTGCCTTTCAGATTTTTCCCCATCGTTGGGAAACCGTGAACGGTAGCTCCCTGCTATGCCAGGATCTGCCCTTTACAGGGGTGCATTTAGAAAGTCATTGCTACGGCAACCAATAAGACTAAAAAAGCTGATAAAATACATAGCATCTCCTCTGGGGTTGACTGAAGGGCAGAGAGATTGCTACTCCCTCAGTAATGTTTTTTTTGTCGTGATTTGGTTGGTTGGTTGTTTTTTTTTCTTGAAAGAAATACATTCCCTGCAGGCAGATTCAAGATTGTGGCTTTGGCAAAATTGGGAGCTTAAAAAGGAAAGTCCATCTGCCCCAACTGCTGACTTGACAACTGTGATGCTGCAATAAGCTGTGTGCCCTAAAACGGGAAGATGGAAAGACCTAGGAGGCAGTATACTCGGTCCCTCTCGCAGTTCACTATTGCGTGCACAGTAATGCTCTGTTCAGTCACGGCTGACATGTTTTTATGAAACGTCTGCCAATGCGTTGGTGGTCTAACAGCTGCTAGGAAATTTTCCTGAAGGGCTAGACTGGGGGTTTTGCTGTAATGACTGTCCTCTAGAGAGTTAGCACAATATCACAGGCGTTAATGCTCCCACCTGTACGCAAAGCGTTTCCTGTTCTGGTTAGCGACGGACGCCTGTGTTAGCTGCTAAAATGTATCGGCACCAGAGAAGTCTATGAAGAGCAAGCATCAGCTATCTCGGAGATCAGAAATCCTGGGTAAAAGGAGCCATTTATGATTATAGTGCTGATGGTGGCTTTTCAAGTGCCATTCAAAA